GTGGTAGGGGTCTGATATAATCCCACATAGGGTTTGGCCGGGGGGCATTCTTCTCAGTATTTACATCCCAAGAGGAGTTTTAAGGGACAGTTAATTGTCATGTTTCTGGTTCATTTCCCTTTAACTCATCAAGATGAGATTATGAAAGATGACTTTGATCTTTAACAGGACTTGTTCACGAGAGAAATGAGGCCATGACTTTCTAAAAGGAAAGCTGTGCGGTGCCAAGAGTTTGGGGAGTTAACAGTGTGATGTTTGAGCTTCATTTGGGACACCAGACCCTTCATATCCAACTGGGTCCTAAACTTGGCTCAGGGAGGCCTCCCTACCTTCAGCCTAATAAAGCCCACTAATTAACTGTCAGGCCAGCTGTGTAACAAGTGAACTTTTAGTGACTGTTCCACTTTCTTGGTTCCAGGCCAGAAACTATTAGTATAAAACTCACCACTGGTGAGACATTTCAGAGAAAAGCTGGCCTGATAAAGTGTTCCCTTATGAATCCCTTATGTGCATCGCCGGATGTGTATTTTTAAAAATTAAAATGTAAATAACTGTTCCAACAGCCTTTGTTGGATTCTTCAAGATACTCTACACTTGAGCATGAACGACTATGAGGCGAATTGGAATCTCTCCAATTGCTCTTATGTTCATGAACTTCAGGGTAAAAGGATGCCAAATAAGAATAGTAGAAAATGATGACCCAAATCCCCACTTAAATGCACTTGATCTTCTGGCGAGATGATATTTAAAATTCACGAGACTGGGGTTGCAGTTACCGTTCTTTAATTTGTCAGTAGTAAGAACCAAGTCAGGTCAGTTTGAACATAGAGAGGAATTGTTGGAAAGCTATCAAGGTGTCTTGCAATGTTAAAGCATGAGTTGGACACAATCCTTAGGAGGGGCCCAGGAGCAGGCACCGGAGCAGCTCAGAGGCTCAGCCACAGTCAGCTCCTGATGCTCCCTCACTTTCAGATGGTACTGAGGACTAAAAGCAGAAATGTCATAGAGAGTTAGGCATGGGAGAAGATTCTGCAAAAGGTCGAGAGGACAGGCTAGGCAATCCATGATCATCCTCCTAAATGAGGTGGCTGCACAGCAATTAAACAGTGAAACAACCAGGGAAAATCCTTGATGTCATTCCTTCCTCAATAGCCCCAGCACTTGGACATTTAGCATCTGTTTGAACATCTTCCACAACGGGGAGCATACCACTTATGAGGACAACCTATTTCCATTATTGGACCATATAACATGGGAAAAAGTCGTTATATTGAAGGGAAACTTGACTTATACCCTTCAGCCTGCCATCTAGACTTTGAGCACATAGATGAAGTCTTACTCAATGTCCACATGATTTTTTTTTGCATATTGAAGATAAATCAACACACAGTTTTCCTAGAGTTTTCTCTTATTCTAGTTCAAGCATATTTAATGCCTTCAGATGGTTTTCCTGTGATGGTGGCTTTCACTCTGCCCAACCCCTTCTGCACATAATGGACCTCGTAAAGTGCAGTAGCTAGGATTTGATATATACTCCAGATGTGGTCTGGACAATAAGCTTCTATGCACATGGCTTCGAAATGCATTAGCATCTCTTCATTGGCTTGGGCTGTGCATGCAGGCCATTCACGAACTATCGCCAAATCAACCCTCTCCTGTTATATTCTTGTGCAATTAATTTTTAAAACATAAATGCAAGATGGTACATGAGTCAAATAAAAAAGGCACAATCAGTAGCCTTTATTCAGATTATTTTGATTTTGACCCTGCCTTTCCTTATACTGTCTTCCTACCGCCAATTAAAAGGCATAGATTCTGTGCTTAATTTAAAATCATTGATGAGAAAAAAATTGAACTGACTAGGGCCAAGTGCAAATCCTTTTGATCTAGGCAGAACTAGCAATGTCTGTACAAATTGGAGACGGAGCAGTAGTCTCTGAGTACAGTTATTAATCCATCTACGTATCTGCCCAAATTCAGGCTCAGAATGTGTCTGACAGAGGAACTGCTCCTCTAAATATTGATAAGATTTACTTTAGAAAAAACTCTCAGCGTCTTTATTATTGTTGCTCCCAGTGACTTGTTAAGAATGTGAACTATTTTGAATATGTGTGTCTGTGTGTGAGGCTATCTTCTTATGGACTCCCATAAAACACACTCAGGAAACACTGATTGAATTTTGTTACCATGCAGCGTGCAAGGTTCTAGTATGTTCCACTGAGATTTAAGTGAGAGGCTTTATCAAGTATTCTGCTGTAATCATGATATGCTATAGGCATGGTGTATATGTTTGTGTTCTTCCAATCAATTAGCTCGATCAAAGCAGAAAATAAGGGGAAAGAATCAAGAACGAAGCCAAAGAGTTGAAGACTAATAAAGGTAGGTGCTGACCAGGAGACTTCAAGGACATGAGATCCTGGGTCTCAGAGTGGCCCAAACATGAGGTTGAAGAATGAAAGACAAAGAATCATAGCTTGAGTCATTTACCAGTGAAGATCCCGAAGAAAATCCCCAAATCGAGGTCAGGACAATCAGCTGGTACAGTCATAGCAGTGGCAGCTGGGTTTTAAGTTCAAATTCTACGGCATCGGCTCCACCCAGTATGACTGGGGTCCTTCCGGAGTGAACATTGGACCTGTTCCCCGGCAGCCAGAGTTAAGAAGCTTCTTTCTCTTTGCTACCTACTAAGATTGTGCTGTCTACCCTGCAGGGTCCAGCATGTCCTAGTCCTTCTAAGCTAGGGATGAAAATAATAAACTCTTTTTGTTGCCTTCAGGATAAATCACAAGCTTTGATTACTTTGGGCTTGAGTTCTCCTTTGACATGCTTCTTTATTCCACCTTCTTTTTAAAATCTCATATTTTATCTCAATACCTTTATTTCTTTTTGTCTTTTACACGTTCTACATACTCAGAATTAACACCTACATCTGTTCTTGGACTTAAACAGCAATATCTTATAGCTTGATTTATTAATGATTGTAAAATAGCTGTATTCAAGGAAAATGCATTTTAACATACAGAATAGTATTTTTAACATCCATATGGAGCTTGAAATTTACAATACTTCCTAAGGGTCATTTTCTTTAAAGTTGAAAAATGCTTTTGTAAGCCATGTAATCTCTAGTTTTCCAGTTTTGTAAGTCTGTAGATTTAGGTTTTTTCTTTTTTTAATCATGGCTAATCTGAATCAGTAAACACTACATTTTGAAGTTTAACAAGCAGCAGAGTGTCTGATCAGTTGACCAGAATTAATTGATCTGATGTTAGGACTGTGTTCAGCTTTACAGTATGATTTAAGATTGGCACTTAGTAAATTAAATGAGATCATTTTGTAACTACTCACAGTACAAGGCTGACTGTTAATATGTGATGTGCATGATGGAAAAATAAGCCTGCAGAAGGCTCCTTCCTTCTTCTTTCTTTTTCTTTCGTTTTCCTTCCTTTTCCTTCTCTCTCTTTTTTCTCTTTCTTTCTTCTCTCTCTCTCTCTCTCTCTCCCCCCCCCTCCCTCCCTCCCCCCTCCTGCTTATAGAGATGAGTCTTACTATGTTGCCCAGGCTGGGCTCCAGCGATCCTCCTGCCTTGGCCTCCCAAAGTACTAGGATTACAGGCATGAGCGACCATGCCCCATCTCATATGGTACTTTCTGTTGTTGCTCTTAACGTTATGAATTCATCCACCAAGTATTATTGAGTGCCTAGAATATTCTGGAAACTGGGAATACAAATGCTCCTGGTGTAATTCACATCACACAATTGCTGAGAGTCATTCACTGTCAGTCACCCAATCCTAAACCCCTGCAATTATGTGAATTACTAACTAGATAGGGATGAACAAAGTCGAAGGAATCAAGCAGGCCTATATGCACTCTAGAGTCAAGCTGGAAAGACGTACAAATGGGATCTTCACTGATGATGGAACACAAGCAGGGGCTTGTTCCTTGAACGTGGAAGGACCAAGATTCAGTGGTGACTCTATGGGAAAGTGACAAATTTAAGCCCATGTCTAGCCCTGTTTTGGTAGCCAGGGGGATAAGAGGAATAATACCTATTGTGTGCTCCCTGTGAGCCAGGCATCGTTCTAAGCACTTTGCATGTATTGATTCATTCAGTCCTTATAACACCCCTATGATGTAGATTCTGTTATCAATGCCTATCTTATAAACGAGGCTTCTGAGGCACAGAGAGGTTGAGTATTTTACCCAAGGTTGCACAGCATCTAAACGGCAACAGCATGTTCCTAGAGCATGCCTTAGTGGTCACAGGGCTAGCATGAAACAGTTGGTGGACGGTCTCTTGGCTCTGTGAAGATGCACAAGTGGAGATATTAATAGGCACTGCTGCAAATCATGGAGCCAGGATCTCAGCCTTACTCACCCACACAGATGCTCTTGATTTACCCAGTAATAACGAAATCAAATGATTTGCACATTGGAATGAGTAGACAGCAACTTAGTTCTGTTGTGTTATGAAATAGAGATTTTAAAAATCCACATGACTTGTGGCAAAACAGATTTTGCCCTGGGAATGCAGAGAGAGAATAGCTCAGGTCCAAGGAACCTCATAGGCTCCCTGTTTAGAATTCTGCCCCCATCAACCCCATTGTACATTTGACCATCTCCCACATGCCCATAAATTTGAGTGCCCTGGATGTCTGGATAATGAATGAGAGATGGGTATTGATGGATGAGTACATACAAGATAGGACCTGTAAAAAGTGATTCATTCACCTAGATAACCCTTTATAGCTAAAAATATCAAAGCTGGGGGTTATCTTTTAAAAACACAATTCTAGGCATTTGTCCCCTCTGCTTAAAACTCATTAATGGCCCTCCTCTAACCACAGGGCAAATTCTTAATGCCATGCCCTGCTCAAGGCCCTCCTAAGGTTGACCCCTTCCCCACTTCCCCCAGCAGGTCCTGCATACCGCACATTCCAATCAGCTCCTGATATCCAGGGCCTTTTCTCCCTACCTCTGCACCTCACCCTCCAGCCTCCTTAACCTCCCAGGGATTCTGCTGCTTCAGTCCCAGCTCAGGTCTGCCTCCCAAGGAAGCTCTCATGTCAGACCTGGTGCTGAGATAGCCAAAGCATCCGGTCCAGCCCAGGCCAGAGCCAGGAAATCCCTGTGATCCAAAAGATTAGAAATATGGTCAAGATGGGGACCTGGAACTGAGCAGGCCCTCATGGGCTGTCCCAGGATGGAGACCCAAGGGGAAGGGGGGGCTCAGCCAAGACTTTCACCTGGGGAAACGAGGGACCGCCAGCCCTACGGGGTTACCTGCAGGGCTCAGTGGCTGCAGTTATGATACTGAAGAGATCAGAGGAGGGAAGAAATCCCATATCTGGCAGGGCAGAGAGCTCACTGGTTCTGGAGCAAAATCTTTAGGGACAACTGCAAGAGGACTGGGAGGGGTGAGGGCTCAACAACCTCGATGGAGGCAGAGAATCTCACAGCATCGCCAGAGGCACAGAGCTGGGATGGCCCCCAAGGTGACACCTCCTGGACTCCTTCACTTCTTTACCACCCTATACTGAGAGCCCACTGGATGGTTCTTAAGAACATGGGAAAAGACGGTGAATTAAAGCAACTGAAGGATGGGCTAGCAGATTTTCAACCAGGCACCGACTTTGCAGTTCAGGTTATTCTTGTTCACACACATGTTCAATCCACACTTTATATTCATGGCTATGTGTCCCAGGCACGGGACTCTGGGCTCGGTGCACAAAGCGGGAAAGGCAGCCCTTGCCCTCCAGGAACTCTGGGACCCTTGGGCAACCAGGCACAAGGAGGCACAAAGGGAACTGTGGTGGTGTTCAGGGAGCCGCCGGGTTCATCAGAGAAGCGTTGAGGCTTCTCCCGCAGGGGCTCTCCCCGAGACTGAGCTTGTCTTCCCTCTCCTGGAGCGGTTCTTCTCGCCCGACTCCTCCGGTTCAGATTCGACTCCTCTATCGGAGTCTGCCTCAGCTTCCAGCTCCTCCTCTATGCATTTGCAAAGCCACAGTTACCTTTGCATCAAACTAAGTGCTTGAGTAAATTGTTGTGTTTGGCTTTTTTTGTTCCCTGACAAAATTAACAATGACTTGAGCATAAGAGTTACATCTTATCTATTTATTTATTTTAGAGACAGGGTCTCACTCTGTCACCCAGGTTGGAGCACAGTGGTGAGATCACAGCTCACTGCAGCCTCGAACTCCTGGGCTCAAGCAGTCCTCCTGCCTCAGCCTCCCAGGTAGCTGGGACTACAGGTGAGCACTATCATACCTGGCTAATATTTTGTCTTTTTTGGTAGAGATGGGGAAGCGGTCTCACTGTTACCCAGGCTGGTTTTGAAATCCTGGCCTCAAGGGATCCTCCTACCTTGGCCTCCCAAAATGTTGGGATCACAAGTGTGAGCCATTGTACTCAGCCAAGGGGTTACACATTCTATACTTCGCTTTATCTACAACAGTGCTTACCATATAGTGTCCAACCAACATTTGAGGTGGGTAAAAACAATGTAAAAGAAATTCTCTTTCTTTCTTCTTTCCTCCCTTCCTTGATCCCGGTCCCTCTTCTAATCTCTGCCTCTTCCCCCCTCCTTCCCTCTCTCTCCCTCTCTTCTTCTTTCTCTCTCTCCCTTCCTCCTTCTCTCCAGGATTTCAGCGGGAAGATGACACAGACTGAGCTGAGGACCTGTGAGCCCCCTTTCCAGCTTGTGCAGGAAGGCCTCATTGGGGAACTTCTTTGGAGGATGGAAGGCAGCATTTTGCAGATGGAGGGCAAAATCAGGCTTTTTGGAGAAGGCAAAATTATCATTTGCATTGCTCTGCAGAGTGAGAACTCTGTAATCTCGGATTTTGCCTAACTGCTGTTTAGCGTTCCCGGCCGACTGCTCTTCGGGCAGGCGTGTGTACATGGGAGAGGTGCGCTATTAATGGCTCTGGAGCTCCGTCCAACTATGGCTTAAAGGTAAGATGACTCAGATAGGGAGCAGGTCAGTCCCAGAGCCCTGCTTTTCTTCAGAAGCACAGATTTTGAGAAGCTGGCACTGTTGAGGAGTCCCAAGCACACAGTATTTTTGCAGAAAGCATCTTTGGTCTGTGATAGCTCCGATTTAAGCTCTGAGCAGCTGGTAGCCAGAAACCAGGCAATGCTGAAGACGGGCACATGCGTGTTCTCTTTTCAGCCATGGGCTTTCCTGGCGCATGTGTGCGAGGCTGCAAGGCTGGTTCTCATTTGCACTCGGTGGACATTTTGGAGAGTTACCTACTTCCTTTGAAAACTGTTTTCAAGTGTTCCTAAGTGCTAGTGAGAATGACACGGAGGCTGCCTGAGGCTGGGGAGGAACTGGGGCTGCCGGCTGCCCTCTTGCTGGGCTTCCCCCATGGATTTAAACTCAACCAAACCAAACCAAGCCTGCTTGATCTCCTTCCATCTGAGGTTGGGTTGTCACCAGCAATTGATTTTTTTTTAGTAGAACATATCGAAGGAGGTATGGCCATTTTAATCTATCTCCGGCAAACAAACATCTTGGCAAATGTGAAACAAATGCACTTTGGATCCAACTTTTAATAACTGGCCTCTCCTCGTGCTTTTGAGTTAAGGCCACAGGTGTGAACACCACAGGGAGTAGTTTCAGCTGGGGAGGGCCCAGTTAGGAGCGCGTGCTCTCCAGAGATCGCTGTACAGGGTCATGGCTGGATTTGGACCCTTCCCCTCCAGCCAGACCTTGACATGGGCTGAGCCTGGCCGAAATGAACATCCTTTGTTCATTTTTTGTTCATTTTCTGTTTTGAAACAGACAAAAGCACATCAGAGTTTGCTGCCACACAGACAGGGCTACGCACAGAACAGAGGCTACTGGGGTGTGTGTGGAGGGGGTAGTGTGATATGCATGGTGTGTTGTATGTTATGCATGTGTGATATAGGTGGTCTGCATGTGGTGTGTCTTTGTGTCTTTGTGTGTGTTGTGTTTGTCTTGTGGTGTATTTGTATGTGTGGTGTGGTGTGTAGTGGGGTGTATTTGTGTGTGTGTGGTGTGGTGCATAGTATGGTTTGTGTGGTGTGTGTGCATGTGGTATGGTGTGTTTGTGTATTTGTGTGTGCATGGTGTATGTTGTGTTTGTATTTGTGTGAGTGTGGTGTTTGGTATGGTGTCTATGGTGTGGTGTAGTGTGTATGTGTGTAGTGTGAGTGAGGGTGGTGTGTGTGTGTGGTGTGGTGTATAGTGTATGTGTGGTATGCAGTGTGTATGTGTGTGTGGGGTGATGTGTTGTGTGTGGTGTGTGTATGAGTGTGGTGTGGTGTGTAATGTGAGTTTGGTGTGTGTGAGTGTGGTGTGTAGTGTATTTGTGTGTGGTATGTAGTGTGTGTGTGGTGTGTGGTGTGTATGTGAGTGTGGTATATGTGTATTTGTGTGTATAGCATGTAGTAAGTGGGTGTGGTGTGGTGTGTGATGTGTGTGAGTGTGGTGACTATAGTGTGTGTGTGTGGTATGTAGTGTGTAAGTGGATCTGGTGTGAAGTGTGCGAGTGTTGTATGGTGTGTAGTGTGTGTGTGTTGTGTAGTGTGTGTGAGTGTTGTATGGTGTATGTGAGTGTGGTGTATGTGAGTATGGTGTGGTGTGTAGTGTGAGTGTTGTGTGGTGTGTGTGAGAGTGGTGTGGTGTGTAGTGTGTGTTTGCGTGTATGTGTGTGTGTGTATGTGTGTGTGTAGGGAGGCAAGCAGTGTTAACAGGGGTGGTGTCCTGTGGAGAGCCAGCCCCCTTAATATTGCAGACCATCACCAACAGTGACTGTGTATGGAGGACATATGAGGACGTGCTCGGCACACATGTCCTTAATCTTTGAAACAATGCTGCGAACCCTTTCACAACCCTGTGAAACACTGTGTGGCCCAGTTCCTATGAGGCCACAGACAGTACCTTGGCCTATTGGGAACTGGGCCGCATGTCAGGAGACGCAAGCAAGCAAGCAAAGCTTCTCTGTATTCACAGCTGCTCCCCATCGCTCACATGACTGCCTGAGCGCCGCCTCCTGTCAGATCAGCAGCGGCATTAGATTTCCATAGGCGTGTGACCCCTATTGTGAACTACACGTAGGTTGTGGTATGATCTGTCACTGTCTCCATCACCCCCAGATGGGTCTGTCTAGTTGCAGGAACACAAGCTCAGGGTTCCCATTGGTTCTACATTATCATGAGTTGTAGGATTATTCTATTATCTATTACAATGTAATAATAATAGAAATAAAGAGCACAGTAAATGCAATGCACTTGAATCATCCTGAAACCATGCCCCCTGCCCCTGTCCCTGGACAAATTGCCTTCCAGGAAGCCAGTCCCTGGTGCCAAAAAGGCTGGGACCACTGCTGTAAAGTATCACTCTCCCACCTTTCCAGATGAGGAAACTGAGACTTAATAATGAACTAGTTTGCTGGGGCTGCCACAGCAAAGCACCACAAACTGGAAATCAAGGTGCCAGCAGGGCCATGCTCTCACTGGCTCTAGGTGGAGCCCTTCCTTGCCTCTTCCCGGCTCCCAGTGGTTGCTGTTGACCCTTGGCGCTGTTGGGTTTGCAGCTGTGTCACTTCAGCCTCTGCCTCTGCCACCGCGTGGCATTCTTCTCTCTCTGTGTCTCGGTGTCTGTGTCCCCGCTTCTCATAAGAGCACTAGTCGTGTTGAATTAAGGATCCATCCTACTCCAGTAAGACGTTATCTACTTAATTAATATCTCAGTGACCCTGTTTCCAAATGAGGCTACATTCTGAGGTTCTAGGGGTTAGGTTTTCAATGTATCTTTTAAGGGACACAACTGAACTCATTAAACATAAGGAAAATATCTGCTTAAGGTGATGCTACTTGCAAGTGGCAGAGAAAACGTGAATCCAATGCTGACTTCCAAACTCTTTTTTTTCTGTACACTAATTTATGCAATTGCATTAATTGATGTATACAATCTACTTAGGCTTATTTAAGCTTTGTCTTTTCTTTCCCACAACCCCCTTTGCACCCCCAGTTACCCAGCTGCCATATTCCCCACATATGACTTCCTATGATAGCTTTTCTTTCCTTTCATTAGCTCTCTCTTAGCTAAGTAGGAAGATGGAAGTTCAGGGCTGAGGAGCTAAGTCAGACTCAGGGATGGTGTCTGTGCCAGAGACACAGAGGGATCATGTCCAGTCAGGAGAAGAGAAATCAACTATTTCAAACAGAGAGGATTTAATACAGGAATCAGTTATATGAGCAAGGGATGGAAGGGCTGAGAGAGAGAGAGAGAGAGAGAGACTATGGTAGGAACAACAAAAAGATAAAGAAGCCCCTATAGGCAGTATAGCAGCCAATACAGCGGCCAAGGTAACTGGAGAAACCTCTTTGATATGATGAAATCCCCCTTATGTAGCAGCTTGTGTGGCTGAGAAAAAGGGAGAGAGAAGGAAGTTATTAAAGCCCCCAAATGACATAAGGCAAGACCAGAGTCGTGGTTTGTTCCACAGGCATTTGTCATCCATGGTGGTCTTGACCTTGGGTTTTTAAGAGGCTATGCCCCTGGTGGCAAAGATTAAGTCCAGACTGCGCAAGATAGACTGTCAGACCAGAGACACTACACAAGCCGGACCCTCAAAGAGAGCCATTCCTGAACCAGAAAAAGCTCCCAAACAGAGAAACGCTAAGAATACTTGCTTATCTAGATCTTAGCTCTTGGTAAAGTGACATACCAAACCAAAAGCTGCCCATGAAAAGATTCCCAGAAACGTCTCTCATGAAAGCGGTTATACCTATTTACTTTCGTTCCGACACTTGCCGATTGAGAGAGCTCTTGCCTTACGTTACATAGCAGGAACCTCCTTACCCAGAAGAAAATAGGTTACCTGCTTGGGAAAAGAAAGATCTGGAAAATCAAAAAGTTTTAGTTCTTCTGGTTGTCTTTTGCTTGTTTTTTTAATTGTTTGTTTTATAGAAGATTATTTTTCTTGGTAGAAAATAATAAAAGTTCTTTCTTTCTTTTTTTTTTTTTGAGACAAAATCTCACTCTGTCAC